AACAGACTTTATTTGATTGTTATATTGCACTAATTCTAGATGTACAGGCGCTCGTTATGTGTGTGTGTGTAATGCATTTTTCCCGTCTGGGCTTGCCATAGATAGGCATTGGGCATGCGCACTTTCTGCTCTAGAGTGTCGCGGGGTTTTGAGTTCTCTCTCTGGTGTGACGGATAATAAAGAAGAGTTCAGACGCTCTCGTTTTTATTGTTTTCTTATTCTTAAGTGTTTAGGCGAACCCGGCACGAACGCTCGGTCACACGTGCAAAACTCACTTTTGCGCGCTCAAAATATGATCTTTCGCGCGCAGAATTGCGGCAGAAATGTAATCCCATAATAATCAGGCCTGCAACGGGGTGGGTTTTAAGGGGATTTGTGTGTGTGTATGAGTGAGAGGAGTGTGGATCCACATATTTGTTACTCTGACCGGTCTTAATATAGTATTTCACTGTGATTTTCTAATCTAAGCTGATTAATACTGTTAAAGTTAGGTTTGTTAAAGTTTTGTGTCCAGAGTAACACAATTGTTAATATTAGGTTGAAGTGTTGTAAGATAATGCTATAGAAAGTCATTCATTTTACTTGGAAAAGGTAAATCCCAGTTTGTGAGAGAATTTTAAGTGTAAGACAGGGAACAGGATAAATTAGAGCATATTAGTTGAAAGCGAACTGTTGAAGAGGAAGAGATTAGTTTATTTAAAAGTATAAAAGCCAGGCAACAGGTTGCATTAATTCATTTATTGGAGTATATTTTGTTTGTATTTCTCTCCTTTTATTGTTTTGAATTCATTTATTGTTAAAACCATACATCTACAGCATTCATACATTTCTTTTTTGCATTTGCCTACTTTAATTCATATTAATACATCTTTGAATTCACTCATTTAATTGGGAGTGTGTTGTGTTCCATTTCCTTGATGGAATTGTATAGTGAGTATTTGAAGTGAACCTAAGTTAAGAAGAAATCGGTTAGTAATAAATTTCCATCAGAAGACAGCTAGACAAAGGATCAATTAGAATTTCGAACTCAGGCCTTTATCAGTCCAGCGGTAAAGGATAAGGGGGCTACACAGGGTAATCCAGACAGGGTAGGAGCGTGCACACACAGAGTAACAGTCACAATAACCGACAACCTAGAACACAATAGACAGGAACTGATATATGGCAGGTAACGAGTGCAGACAGGTGAGCACAATGAGATGATTAACTAATAATGACAATAGGAATAACCAAATATGGACACAGAGGGAGAAACCACAATCAACAGTCCACAGGGGTGTGACAATAAGACATAACAAAAAAATAAATAAAAAGACAAATATCCATATAGAATGTCTGTTGAGCAGGTAACAGTCTTCGCTGTTGTTTTGACTTACTGAAAACAATTGTTTAATAAATAACATTGCAAAAGTAAGGCAGGGTTGACATTCAACAAATCAGTTTATAGATAATTGTACCTGTCGATCTCTGGGTCGAGTTATCATCTCTGAAAAGCCAGTCTGATGTTGATACAAATTGTTACAGTCTCTCTTTTACTTGAAAACTCTTCTCTAAACAAGGTTTCTTTGTTTTAACAACTGGTTGTCTTTTTGAACAATCCATTGTGTTAATTGTGTTGCTTAGTTATGACTACAGGCTGTCAGAACTATTAACAACCCACCATATCATATCTGCAGTGCAATAGCTGAAGCTTCTTCTCTTTGTTTAGGGATGTGACGTAACCATGCAAAAACAAATAACGTCAAACTGATATTTTGTGTGAAATCCAACCCGACAGCTCAAATGATGAATTATGTACTGCTGCTTTTAACAGAATTTGTGATGTTAAACTACACTAAATTAACTTTATATTGAATTTCTAAATTTTCTTTCTTTTCTCACATAACAATGTGAGAATAGTCCATTTAAATTTTTCAGTCAGTTCTACATTAATAATTCACATACTATTTTTGTCCAACTAAAGATGCTTCAGACTTGGATTCTAACTAGTATCCTCAAATCCTAGTTATGAATTGGTTTGTGGTTCTATAATGAGGTTTCCATGTTTTGCTTGTGTATTAATGACTGTATGGTGTTTAATCATGATGAATTTAACTAACACATAAACTTAACAAGAATCTGATTAATTGTTCTTTCTCTTTCTGTCTTCAGTCTGTGTGGATGCAGTATTACAGAGAAACAGTGTCTCATCTTGACTTCAGCTCTGTTCAAACCTTTCACACCTGAGAGAACTGAACCTCAGCGAGAATCAAATAGAAAACACAGGAGTGAATCACTTATGTGATGTACTGAAGGATTCACACTGTAAACTGGAGAGATTGAGGTGAGGAACATTCACATCAAATCAAAATGTTTAAAATCACTTATCTCACAAAGAACTTATATTAAATTATATTTGTGGAAAATAATTCCTTATAGTGATGTGTTTTTAATCTGATGAAAACAAGGCTAGAAATGAACACCCACCAAGTACCAAATGTTGGTAAATTTTGGCCATAGTTTCACAGACCACTATGGGGCATGATAATTTACTAAACAGTTAGCGGGATATGTGCAACTGTGCAATCTTCTCTCCGTCAGTAACATCACTAACAGTCATGAAAAAATGTGTAAGTATAAGACACATTGTAAATGGCAGAGGCCACAGTGTAAACAGCAGCAGGTTAACTGCATGACCAGTTGGCCAGTTGGTTTCTGCAGAAACACCTGCCTCCAACACTTCAATTGTGTGTTTATTTTTCTTTAGTATCTATAATGTAGTGTTTTTTTAAACTGCTCTGTCTTTATTTTTATTAGAAAAAAAATAAAAAATAATTTTTATTTTTCTATCTTACAGTAAGGTGCATTTACATTTACCTTAAATCTCTGCAGGCATATAAAAGTCAGGACCGGATGTGAAGCTTGTGTGGAAAACATTTTTTCAAGAAGTCTCTTTGTAATGCAGCACTTTATATTCTTGAACAATGCTGGTACGAAGTGGCAGAGTAGACACCAGTTGAAAGAGTACCTCATTCCTTGTGAATAATTAGTGTAGCTTTGACGAGGCTGCCTGTGATATTACTGTGATATAGAAAAGGCAAATGTGACTGTGCACTCTAAATATCATACACATCGTACACTGGGTGAAAGTAAAAATGATCTCTCTTCTTCTGTCTCTGTCTTTCTGTTGGTCTTCTAGTCTGAAGTACTGTGGCATTACAGATGTTTCTTCTTCAACTCAGTCTTTGACAAACACAAAAGCACTACAGTTTTTAAAAGAGCTTGATCTGAGTTACAGTATGATTGGAGACTCAGAGAAGCAGCTCAGTGACGTGCTACGAGACTCAAACTGTGAACTGAGGTGAGTAAACATCTCTTTGTTGTAGTCATACTAACACAGATAATCATTTTGAATGTATTATATTTAAAACACAAATACTGTAGTCACTCTTTAGTGTGGGGATCAATTCTCACTATCAAATAACTATTAACTATGACATGCCTCAATAAACTCCTAATTTGTTGCTTATTAATAGTTAGTAAGGTAGTTGTTGGAATGGGGTGGATTAAGGGATCTAGAATATGGTCATGCAGAACAAGCCATTAATATGTGCTTTATAAGTACTAATAAACAGCTAATATGCTATGGATATGCATGCTAATAAGCAAGTTAATAGTGAGAATTGGTCCTTGAAATAAAGTGTTACCAATATTGATCTATAAAAATGTGTGTGGCAGATAATGTAAAATCCGTAACTAACATGATTACAAGAATGTAATGTTTGTTAAAGTATATTATACTCAAAGTAATTGAAATACAGTAACTAATTTGCAACTTCTCCACTCAACACTATTTTTGCTTCCTCCTTGCAGCCTGGAGAAAGAACATTGGTTCAGAGCTGGTGTAAGCTACATTGGTGGATTGTTAACACACTGGTCAAAAGCTCAGGAACCTGTGAAATCAACAGAAAAGGAAAAGTCACCATCAGATGAGGAATCCTCAGGCAAGCCTCACTAGTACTGTAATAAATTAATATGTTTGATGTGATGTCTATAATCAAAATGTATAATGTTCATTATATATTCAAATATGAACTGAGAGTATCAGCATAAATAAAAAAATCCTACCCCTTACCTGTTTTAAATCATTGAGGACAGCAGAAGGGATATTTTTGCTGAGAAGCAAGCATTTCAAAACCTACAGCTGTTATGAATTCAGTGTGTTTATAAACAGATATATTTATTTGATAACCGATTTAAACAGCTTCAAACAGCACTGCTTTAACAAAACTAAAGTTTATTACTGTATGTATTGCTTTTCAATAATAACTAAAGCATACAGCTGGAAGAGGCTCAGAGTTTCAAATTTAATAATGCAGCATTAATAGAAACATTCAAGTTCATGAGTAATGTCCAATGTTTATTGTTGGTTTTGCATTTACAAATGATATTTTGATGTTTTATTTACAGGTGAAATAAAGGAATGAGAAGAGGATGATAAGCACTCAAATGAGGTGGATCAGCAGGAAGATATGAGTCTTTGTTATAAGGCCTACAGTCAGATGTGATTATTGTGATTAATCAACTCAATTCTGAAGAAATTAAAATATTGCTGTACATGATTGTACAATACAATGTAAGCTCTCAGATATATCAAATGAACATGAAATACAAACTGAAAGTAAGTCTACATGTTTAAAGATTCAAATCAGTACTATCAATGTCAATGTTATATTTATTTTTGCCATAAATTCATTTTTATTTTTATATTTTATATTTCTGTACATTTTTACATATAATCTCTTATATATATATTATTTTTTTATTATTATTTTTTTTTTATGTATTATTTTAATTTGTATTAAGTCAGTTGTGTGTCTGCACA